GAGTGATTTCACTCACCAATCTGACCCCACTGTTTCCTCACTCACTAACCCACCCCAAACTCTAATTCAGGATAAACAATAACTTTAAGGCCATTGCTGTCCACCAGGCCCTGAGGGAAGATCTGGCAGCATTCCTAACATGAGCCTTGTTAAGGGTTTATGACTCAGCCATAAATACTTGCCATTGGAGGGTTGCAGCTCTGGAGTGAATTGTTCATTTATACCAGAAATATCTCACTGACAATTTGTTTTAACTGTATTTACCCTTTTTGATGGGAAGGAAAATAATGGCCATATGGTTCGCGACACTTTTGGCCTCCTATGAATCAACAGACCATTGGGAAGAAAGTGGAGGAAAAACATCAGCAAAATAGTGGCTGCTGAGAATAGACAAGCATTCTTCTTTCTTTAAGAGTGAGGCTTTTAGGCTGATGTTTCTCAATCAAAGATCTCTTAGCGAAGTTAGGAAATAGTGAATGTTAGGACTGCCAATTATCTCCCTAAAGCATCCAGGGCTGTTTGCTTTGCTTTTGTACGTTTGTGTTTTTAGCCACACTGTGCCCAGCAAACTGTGTGGTTGCACCACGAGGTTCTATGTCCTGATGGCTCACATGGAGGCAGAGGAAGGACTGGAAATAGGGAAAGGCAGGACTGGCTGGAGGCTGGGATGCTCGCAATGGCCCAGTCTCCTGCAGTGTTACTGAATCCTACATGCCCCCCATGCTGTTCCCCTTATTTTTTATGGGAAAATGCCTTTTCCATGGATGTTTTTAAATCAGCCAGGACCTTTCAAAACAGTGTGAGCTCCTTCTGTTTGGTCTCTTGCTCCTTTCACAGAGCGCCTAAACCTTTACCATTTTCTGTAGAATCGGGGAGGAGGTGTGTAAGAAGCCTCTTTTGCTATAATATTTGGTCTTAGTCTCCTGTTCCTGACACAAAGGATTCGGAGACCCTTGGTCTCCAGAGTGTAGTGACTTTTTTATGTTAATGGAGGACTGGTGGCTGAAGGCCCCTAGGTAGCTGCAGGACAGGGCTGGTTGCCTGAGGAGGGACCCTCCGATTAGAGGTTTGGAACATTGAGCCCAATTCCCTGAGGGGAGAGGGGCTGGGGATGAACTAATCACCAATGGCAAATGATTTAATCAATTGTGACTGTTCTGATTAGAGAAAGCACATTCGAAACCAGCTGAGTTGTATGCCGTGGGACACGGGAGCTATCATCAGAATGCAGTCTATCCTCCTTTTCCTGAGAACAAGCTTGTGGCTGAAGCAGTCTAGTCCTGCACGCACCCACCTTTGGAACTCAGCCCCTGTTATCTGCAATCTGGTCCTAGAGGTGCCCAGAGTTGCCCGCCCTCTGTGACCCCTTCCGCCTGCATTGCCTCTAACCTGTAACCATTTTTCTTTGCCTACTTCCCCTGGCCTGTAATTCTTAATTTCATGTACTAATTGTTGTCCTTCTACCCAATATAAGCAGCTGGCTTATAGGGAGGGAGGGCGGTAGAGCAGATTTTTTGTGGAAGACTTACTGGCATTATCGGAATAAATGCTCATATGTATCTCTGCTTAATTGGCTCAAGTGGTGACAGGCAGCCCAGAGCCATTGATTGTCCAGTTACAGTGCCAGTTGGGGTACTGGAAACATCAGGGGAACACCATGCAAAACATATGATTGTCTAACCACCAAGCAATATACCCGAAACCAACACGGATTAAGACCAAAAGAAAATAAATATGTAAATAAATAAATAAGAGAGTTATATCTCAGACCTAATAACAAAAAAACAAAACAAAAATGTCACTTGAGTCATAAACACATGGATCTGAAATCCTGTTGAACTAATTAATACACATACCTTGAAATGCAATGTATTAAAAGATGAATGCATGAATGAACAGATCTGACTGCATGCAGCAGGTCAAACATTAATTACCAGAAGAGGTGGAAACAGGTAACATATTTCACGATACAGAATGCATTGAAAACTTGTATCTATGATTGGGCATTGTGAAATAAATGACCATCCTTTTTAGTGGTTTCTACTTCAGTTATTTTGTTTAGAGCTTAATAAAAACAATGCTAACTTCATCCTTAGAGTTCTGTGTTCCCTTCTACAAAGCACCTCTCTACAGCCTGCACGTTCAATATAACCACTAAATTTTGGCAGATTATTCTGTTTTAAGCACGCAGGCCTTTAAATTTTTGAGCTCTTTCCCCCCTGATTAATAAAAGCAATATATCATTTAGACAGTTTGGAAAATACCAAAAAGCCTCAAGAAACAATTGCTTTTAATTCGATTCCCTGAAGACCATCACTTTAAAATTTTGGCATGCTGTTGCCTTGCAGGCTGTTTTTCCCCGAGTAAGTTCCATTCTTGATTGAGAACTGTTGGATTGTGAATTCTGGTTTTGAAATTTTACTTAACTTTCTATCTATAGTCAGCAGTTTTTCATTTCCTTGGGATTCTTTACACACATCATTCCATTGCCCAAAGCCATGATATCAGGGTGGCCTATACCAGCGTCTTAGACTTCACTGGAGAGCTGTGAATTCTGGGAGCCACCCAGGCCTAAAGGGTTACTCTGAGGGTGGGGCGCAGCAACCAGGTGATTCAAATGCAAATGAAGTTGACAACCCCAGCTGCAGAGTCTTGCAGATTTGTCTACTCTTGGGAAACAAGGATTTTCTTTTTGCTGTTAGAAATGTTATACCGTTTAGAGTTTTTCTTTGGAATAAAACAATTAATACAACAATAAAACGATTAATCAAACGTGAAAGGGTGTGACACAGAGACCAATTTCTTTTTTGTTGCAGGTTGCAACAGTTTTTGCTTCTCAAAGGACTTGCGATGGGCAATCTCACCACAGGCTTCCTTTTATACCAGCTTACACTTTAAGAGCTTTTTGCTAATAACTTATTTCTCTCATATTGTCTTATGTACCTTTTTCTCAATAGCAAGGATATGATAAAGCAACCTAGCAATATTATGTTTATCTTTACATTTTATTTGTAATACTTTGATCTTCAGTTATTTCTCATTTTGATTGCCTCAATCCGGTATATTTATTTATTTTTATAAATGGGAAAGTCATTTCTCATTCAATAATTTATTTACATTTTCTTCTAGTATCTACATAAAAATTCAGATCTCTAGTTCACCCAGATTTTTTTTTTTTTTTACTGTAATGACTATCTAAATAGCATTTTAAAAATGTAGTTAATTTTCCCAGAATACTGTCAATGAATTTATTGATAATAACTCTTATTTTCTTGCTATGATTGCCTGCTTGATTTTACCTTAGCACATGTTATATTCAAATTATTTCAGTACAGCAAGTCTTTTTATAGTCCTGGGCTATAATGTAAAATAATTTCAGGTATTTTGTTTATTTTCATAATGTGCCAAGAGCTTCAAAAAGTTAATTTCTTATTTCATGGGGAGAAAGATTAATTGTTCTTTTTGTAGTTGGAATAATGTGTTTTTGCTCTGAGTAAATTCCTTTCCCATCAAATTTGGACAAGTTTATATACTTTTATTCACCTAATAGTTTAAATCAATTTAAAATGTAAAAGTAGTGTTCATTATTTAACTTAGGTTCTTAGTAATACCTGCAAAAGATGAATGGGTGTTGACTTTGAGCTCTTACCATGAAAAAAATCGCAGCTAAATACAGTGAATTCTAAAGGAAGATGTAATCTGTCAGGTGGTTAAAAATCCATGAGAAGTGTGATTTCTCCAGTTATTGTGGGATTCCAGAGAGCCGTGAATCACAGGGCCAGCATGGGGCTCTTATTTCCAGAGCCAGAAAGTCGTGCTGTCTCTGCCTTGGCTTATACCCATCTCTCATGTTTGCTGTCCCCAAAAAGGTCGCAATAAAGACAGTCCCTGGGTTCCAGTTCCATCCCATTCCCACAACAGCACAAATGGGTTTTCTTCTCCTGGGAGGGAGCTCTGTAAGAGGCAGTGGGTGAGGTGTGCTGTGGGCAGGAGGCAGTTTACAGCTGAAACACGCTCTGAGCTCACTGGGGTCATACTGCAGAGGTGATGTCTCTCTAGTAGTTTACTACTCTTGGATATTGTCTCATTCGATTCTCACCATAATTCTGTGATTTAATCAGAGGTGTTGTCACTGTCACCAGTGGACTGATGAAGAAAGGCATGCAGAGAAGGTTAAGGATTTGCTGGAAGTCAAAAAATGGGATAGTGAGCCTAGCTGGCGTGGCTCAGTGTTTAAGCTTCCACCTTTGAACCAGGAGGTCACAGTTCAATTCTGGTCAAGGGCTCATGCCTGGGTTGCAGGCTCAATCCCCAGTGGGAAGGGGGCGGGGGAGGGTATGCAGGAAGCAGCAGATCAATGATTCTCTCTCATTAATACTTTCTTTCTCTCTGCCCACCCTCCCTTTCTTTCTAGTTTGTACCTTTCAAACTAGATAGTGAAAGAACCAGGGTGGGAATTTCAGATTCCATGGAAGCAGTGAGTTGGAGTAACACATTTTTTTTGCTGATTATTTTTTACCATTAATCCCAGCTGAGTAGAAAATGGTTTTAAACAAAATTCTACATATAAACATCAAAGTTACATACTAGTACTGTTGTGTGTTGAATGTACTTAATACATCATACTTAAGTAATCTTTATTTGTATATTATTTTGATTTTTTCTTAAAAGACTTTACATTTGCTATCAGGAGCTCATTAGAATGAAGGGATATCAGTCTCGGACATACACTCTTTCTATCCTTATTCTTAAGGTGTCAAATCCAATCTTAGAGATCAAGGAACTAGAGAAATTTTGTCATGAGTCCAAAATACTTAAGAGACTGAATGGAAATTAATCTTTTTCCCTTATCTAATCCTATTTTTTTCCCCTCTTGGATTTGTTGTTTGTTTTCAATTGTGCCTCTATGATGATGGATGTATCTTTTCTCATTTTTCTATCTTCCTTTTTGCTAGCTTTGGCTGAATTCCTAATTCCTATTATAATTTTTTTTCCCCTAGGTAAAAACGACAACCAACGTGTCTTCTGGATAATTGTAGGGACAGCTTTATTGTTGGTGTTTGTTCTCCTAATTCCCATTGTCATTGTCCTTCTGTATATCAGGTGAGCATTGCGCCTCCTTCTGAATCTTGTTTACCCTGAGCGATTCTTGTTTACCCTGGGCGATTCCGATGTTTGAGGATCTTACAATTAATCACTCAGCATTGGCCAAGCTGTCTTAGCACTTGCGTATGTTTTTCTGAATGCTTTTCATACACAAAGAAGAGGAAATGACTGTGGTAATAGAGGAGGGAAAGGGGAGTCATTCACTTAAAAATTAGTAGGAGCTGGCCATCTGCCCCATATTAACAAAGCTTTCATATGCCCGATGCCTCCTCTCTGTCTCCTACTCCATTGATCTTCCTTCTCCTTTAGGAAAAAAAGCTGTTGAGTGAAGGTGTGTATGTGTGTGTATGAGAGAGAAAGAGAGAGAGAGAGAGAGAGAGAGAGAGAGAGAGAGAGAGAGAGAGAGAGAGAGAGAGAGAGAGAGAGAGAGAGGGAGAAAGAGAGAGATTTTGAGAAGTGGAAAGTGAAAGGACTGGATCAAACAGTAATAAAGCCTTTACTTATTCATCAGCTATTTCTTTCTCTTTTTAAAAATATATTTTAATTGATTTTTTACAGAGAGGAAGGGAGAGAGATAGAGAGCCAGAAACATCGATGAGAGAGAAACATTGACCAGCTGCCTCTTGCACACCCACTACCAGGGATGTGCCCGCAACCAATGTACATGCCCCTGACTGGAATCAAACCTGGGACCTTTCAGTCCACAGACCGACGCTCTACCACTGAGCCAAACCGGTTTCGGCTCATCAGCTATTTCTTTTGGCAGTGGTGAATGAGATGTGATGAAGCACATATTCTAATAAGCAAACAACATTATTTAAATGCCTGTCTATTCTCTGAAACAAAAATTTAGTTGTTCTTATTAAAAATTATCAAGGAAGAAAGAGGTTGGGAGAGGCGATCTTAGAGAGAGCAGGTGGCCACCGGCCTTTTAATGTCCTACCTTTCATGTCCATGGCACACTTGAAAGTTTCTAGGATATTCTTGGTGGACCTTTCTTCCTTTCCTAGCTCTCCGTGTTCATCCACTCCCATGTCTGAGTGTCTGTTGCAGTCTTAGCTGTGATCACATAGGGGTGGATATACTGTGTTCCAACTAAGGTTACGTTCCTAAGGGAGGAGGAGACCAAGCATTGGGTGTCTATATTTGGCATGTCTAGCACAGCATAGACAGACACTTTATATATGTTCATTGGGTAGATGAATCCATCCATTCCCATTCTTCTCTCCTCCGAATATTGCCACAAGATGCATGGCAATATTACACACACATGCATGGCTTATTGATTGGATTTCCAGAGGATTTCTCTGTCTCATCTCCATTTCTCTCCCCTCCCCCCCCCCCCCCCCCCCCTCTTTGGAAGCTCTTATCACTATTCCCCTGATTTTATTCACACTCTGCAATCTACTCACAAGGTTTCCTCTCTTTTTAATGCTCCTGGGTTTTCCTGGTTCCTTTCCTGAAAGCTAAGGATGGCCATGTCAACATCCTGTTTAAAACCTCCTGTTACCATTCCCCTGTCACTAGAATAAAGGCGAAACTCAATGAGCCCTGTCGTTCTGACTCCAGCCTAATTTCCATTCATATTTTCTCCTTTTCTTACTCCCCCAGTATTGAAAAATTTTGTTAAAACTGCAACTTTTCTGCGAGCACACTTGGCTCTCTTTCCATTGTCAAAGCACCAAGTGCTATTCCCTCAATATTTAGCCTTAATCCTGTGGGACACCTGTCCCCTTTGGAGTTCTGTCCTGCCTTTCCCTTCCTGCCCAGAGACGTGGTCTCACTCTCCAGAATCCCACGTGCTTCTCATCTGCTATACCTCGCAGCCTGCTCACTAATTTAATCACATTCACACTTGTCTTTCCTTCGATTCATGATGACAGCATGTTTTATTCATTTTTTAGTTTGATAGCAGTTGGTGCTAATCTTTCCAAATAATGGATGGTCAATAAGCATTTGTCTAATTAAATTGAAACACAGTACTGTCGTTTTTCCTTTCTCTCTGTCACTCGGATGCCCTCAAAGCTTTTTCTGATCAGAAAACAGCCAGTTGGGGTAAGGAGCGCAGGATGGGATGTTAGTGACATTGAGGATTCTAGGCTCCACCTTGGTGGATAAAAAATGCACCGAGGAGAACTGTGGTCGCAGGAACACTCGGGGGCCCAGACAGAATGAGTGACAGCAGGTCTCTGGAGGGCCCCAGATGCTGGTCATGAAGGACTGAGTTTCATGAAAATGCATCACTTTTACAGGAATAGCTAAATGGAACCGTAGACTATATTGTCCCCCTTGGTTCAAAGTGATACAAAGATTCCTGGGCTGGGTTCATCATCGGGCGAACACAAAGGGAAAAGCACTTGTTTTCCACCTTATCACTATATCAGCATGTGTTGTCACTGTGGACATGTTTGGAAAAATGATGCCAGGGCCAAACAGTAACCTTCTGAACTCTGTCCTTGTGACTCTTTAAAAACACTCTTGTGGCTTCAAACCTATTGACTTGGATAGAAGGCAAAGTAAATCACAGTGTGCCTAGAAGAAACTGGGTTCTCCCTGCACACCTAGCCCCTAGGGACAGGAGTCCAGAGGCTCTCCAAGCACTTTCTCTGCATCCAGTTAGATCAGAATAGTAACACTGTCAAGTGATCATGGCTGGCAGAAGTGCCTAGCCCCAGTAAGCATGACAATCTACATGTGGACTCCAGTATTCGTAAGAAGAATTTTAATATTTCATGAGCAAAAATAGACACTTATTTTCACATTTATTGTCAACGTTGATGTTCACTACAAGTAGAGTGTCTGGTCTGCCTGGGATTCTCCAGGTTTTAGCACTAAAATCTCTCACCTCTGGAAAACTTTAGAATCCACAAACCAGAATGGCTGGCCAACCTAGAATACAGTACAATGTATTTACTGTCTTTATTTTGCAGATGAGAGGACTGAACTTTAGAGATGCAAATAACCAGTAAATTGCAAAGCACAAGCCAACACAGATCATCTGACTCTAAACTTCATGCTGTCTTCTCTTCATCACATTGTATAGTCTAGTTTTACATAAAAAATGTATGTGTATTTGGCCCTATTTGGAACACTTAACTCTATATTATGATATACAAGACTCGTAAACCATCATGTAACAAAAGAGCAAAAATCATAGGTCATGTCTCAGTTTCCTCATTTGCAAAAAGCAGATAGTAACACATACAGCATAGATTTTTTTAAGCAGCAAATGATTTACACAAAGCACTTAGAAACATGTTTGCATGTAGTACACTTACATGCAAAATAAGTAAATAAATTGTTTCAGTAATACATAAGCAAATAAGTAAAAGCATGTAGAATAGGTACCTTTGTGATTAGGTTAAGATGGTGGAAGATTTCATAGCGACTAGAAGACACCATCAGGATAAACATCCTCCATCTGAACACCTTTCCTGGGAGAGAAACTATCTTGCCAGTTTTTCACAAATTCCATGAAGGAATGCTAAACTCATCTTTAAAAAAAACAACAACAAAAAACAACTCTACATTCCCTCCCCTCACCCCCAGCCAATCTTCTTTGTTGTTCAATAAAAATCTTCTTTAGGGAGATGAAAATGGTTCTCATCTCCCCGTGAAACCATTCTTCACACTTACATGTAGTTATCTGAGCTAATGTGTTCAATTACAGTAGTTTCTTCTTCCTTTCCTGAATTTTCTTTTCAAAGATTTCTCTTGAACTTAGGTTTTTATAGGTTTAATTGGAACCTGGAGAATTTATTTGAAAGCATAGCTCCGGACTGCCCCAGCGACTGCAACCCATGGCCCTAGAGCAGAAGAACATCTTAGTTAGGAGGGAGGGCTCTAATCTGATGCTACCAATAACCAACCATGTGATCTGGGGCAAGTTAGTCTTCTCTTTGCCTCAGTTCCCCAACCTGGTAAATAAGAGAGGTTTTTATAAAAACAAAATTTAAAAAAAACGTAACCTATACAGGTGGTTTAGAAAACAAGATTTTATAAAGCTTAATTCTATTATCATTGACATTCAAGAAGTTATTCCATTAGCAATTAAAAGGAAGTTTTAATTGTGGGAAATCAAATCTGAAATAATTTGGGAAAGGCCATAAGCTATTTATATAATAACCCACTATGAACCACTCTTTACTAAACTCACTGGGATTAATGACTAGTGCCCACCGGCTGGATATTCATTTAGTTGCTTCTACCATCTGGAAACACATTGGAGAAGATGGGAAAATGAAAAAAAACATTTGAGTAAGTATATATAAAGTAACTATGGGTAGCTACTTCAACATATTTAGTAAGGGCATGTAAGTTAGGGCACAGGCGATAGAGGATTTGAAATAACATTAGTTTGGAGTGTAATTCTTAATACCTCTATTGAATATGTATTTCCAGGAAGAGATGCAGACAGAAAAATATCCAAGATAAAGAATCCCAGGCCACACAGAATAAGGTAAGTTTTCTCACAGTTGTCATTCCCGCCTCTTTTCTTGAGCATCATAAAAGTTTTGTAAACTCAGTTCATTTGGCAATTAGCAATCTTCTTCTTTATTCTTATTTCAACAAACTGGCCACGCATTGCCTGTAATTTAAGTGTCAGTTATTTGATGAAATAGTTATTTTTGGAACTATTCTCCTATTTTTAATACCCTTCAAAAACAATTTTACATTAATATTGATAAAAGAGCAATCACACCAACATAATAATCAGCACTGCATATTTCCAAAATCTGTATTGGTTTCCAAGGGCTCCCACAATCAAATTCCCACAAAGTGGGTGATTTAGAACAACAGAAACCCATTCTCTCGCACTTCTAAGGTTGAAGTCCAAAATCAAGGTCCCAGTAGGATCAGTTCCTCCTTGGGGTGAGAATCTGTTCCATGCTTCTCTCCTAGTTTCCGCTGGCTTCTAGCACTCCTTGGCATTCTGTGGGTTGTGGCCCCATCACTCCAGACTCTGCCTCTGTCTTCACATGGCATTCTTCCCTGTGTCTGTGTTTCTATAACAAACCTATTTTCACATAAGGTCACATCATGAAGGTCTTGGAAGAACATAAAATGGGGGGGGGGGGCACTATCTAACCCAGTACAATTATGTTTTTATGCCATAAAGTTATTGTGAGGATTAAATTAACCTACATAAATGGCCTGACCTTTTGCTTAATTGATTAATTAATGGATGTTCAGATTATAAAGCTAAAGAGCCTTCCAAGGGGCTGCAGGTGTCTGATGAAGTGTAACCATTTCCTCCTCATTTGCATGTGGCCACTTTTGTTTACTGGAAAGAGTAGAAAATTCCATCTGTGTTTGCAGATAAGAGGGATGCTCATGTCTCCACAATGGATCAAATATTCTCTTTAACACATATTATTCTGTCTAGGAAATTTTACAATAAAACATTTCCCAAAGTTTAATTACATCCATTTCTCTTCGACTTAATTACTTATCATTAAATTCTATCCAGTCAAAAGGCCAAGTACTAAAATGTTTCTGACAATTCAATATGTGTGCTTAAGACTTCTCAATAATCTATCAGTTTAAATTTTTCTTCAATTAAGTAGTGACTATTTGCAAAAAATACTCTTTTTTTTTTTTCTGAATAATTTCTGGCTTACTTTTTTGGCACCAACCACAAAGACTCAAGAAGTCTTGTCTTGTTTTACCTGCCACTCCTGCACTAGCTAATCAGTGGTCTGTTTTATACAATTTTTGGATTTGTTCTTTGTCCTTAGCTATTGCCCACTCAAGCCAAAACAAAGCCACAATTGTTGCTGTTAACTTCCGAGGCAGGAAGGAGCTTTGCAACTTCTTACATTATGTATTCAACTTTTTAAGGCTTTTATAGAATAATAGTATTTTGAATGGTGAATATAAAGTTAGATTTTAAGCTGATATTAAGATGAAGTTAGACTTACTTGACCTTTTTTTTTTTTTTTTTTTTTTTTTTTAATCAACAGGCTATATAAGTAACAATGACACTTGAACATGCTTTCTCCTTGAAAACACCAAAGCCACTCAAATGATAACGTAACATTATTTTGAAAGTTAATATCAGTTTATTTCATTAATTTATTGTGTTCAGTTGTTTATTTCTAAGCCAGGACACCATGTATTATCCTTTAAAACATGGAAGCATAGAATAGACTGATGAATCTCAGAGGGAAAGGGGTAGGGAGGCTTGGTAAGAGATTAACCAAAGAACCCAAATGCATATATGCATAACCCATAGATACAGACAACAGTGTGCTAAAGGCCTGGGTGGGGGTAGGAATGGGGGGAGGAAGGAGATCAATAAGGAGAATAAGGGGACATCTGTAATACTTTCAATAATAAAGATAAATTTTAAAAAAAGTATGGCCTCTGATGACATTCATTCAACAGAAATTAATTAATGGGTCCCACAATGGGAAAATACTATACTAGACTTGCCATATAAAAATTAGAATTGTTCTCATCAAAACCCTTGACATTGGGAAAGGGAGTTTTGCATCTAAAGAGGAGTTTCATAAATGCAGTGTAGCAAGGAATGATGTAGACTAGGCCTCTATTGAATCTTACTCAGGTCCCTGCAAGTCAAGAATATGAATTCTCACAGAAGTTCAATATAATAAAGAGGATGTTTTATGAAATTACTGATAATTGTAATAGAAAGTTGACCTCTATTGTAGTTGAATGGAGAAGATATTTGTTTTCGTTGTCTTTGTTAGCTGCTGAAATACAGTGAATTATTGACACCCTCTCTGCCTGTCTTTCTAGGCATCCAACAACAACAGAAGTTCCTTCTCTGTCAGCCAACCATCAGATGGTGCAGGAGAGGACATTTATGTCAACTACCCAACCTTCTCTCGGAGACCAAAGACTAGAGCCTAAGCATTTTCCTTGATCTGCACAAATTTATGATGACTGTTAAATCTATAGATCATTATACAGTTTCTTCCCACTATTCAGTGTCTACTGTGGATGCCAGTTGACTGAATATATTTTACTTTCTTCAATCCAAACATCACCCTATTTAATTCCCCAACAAAACAATGGGAAAAGTATTCTCAGTGCTACATTTACATATAAAATCCTCACCTAATAAGCAACAGAAGCCCATGTACCAATTTCTAAAAACAGATATAAGATACATGCACAATTTGGGGTGTATTAACAAAACAGAATATGACAAATTGTTAAAGACAATCTCCTATCTATGGGTCTCATCACCTCTTACCTGCAGGGGCAGCTGTAATGGCCTGGAAGCCATCAGAGCCTCTTCTGCTTCCTCCTCCCAGGACTGTGCTCAGGGCACAGAAGTGTCTGTCTGCCTTGCCTCTAAGCTACAGCGCAAGGCTGGTGCCCCAACTGCTGCTGGCCTGGACATGAAACCACTGGATTCACCTGCTCTATTCTCCCTGGTGTTGGTGATCTACATCACCTAGAGAACATTCTTAACAGAAATGTTTCAGTCAACCCGACTCTAATTAGTTTAGACATGAAAGACAACTTACTGACTCATGTAATGGAGCCTATCCAGGGAGATCAAGCTTCAGGCAAAGGTTATTGATTAAGACTTAAAATGTCATGTCTGAAATCAGCTGTGGGCACACACCAGCTTCTGGATCCCCTTCCATGGTATTGGATCCACTTCACTGGTGTTGGCTTAACTCATTTAAGCTTTCCTCTTGTGCTTCCAAGATGGCTGTCCACAACTCTTGGAAAATTCATAATCTTTGTTTTTGTCTGGTAGAGAGTTTATTTATATGATAGAGTTCAGGATTTTTTTTTCAGGAATTTTGAACTCTCCTCAGTCCTGCGGACATTTCTCTGACCTCCATACTATTCCTATTCCACTCTCAGCTGTTATCTGGTGAAATTCCGTTCATTCCCCCCACTTCCCTCGAACATCTTAACAAAGCACTTTCATTGTATTTTCTTTCATGTTATACATAGTTTGCTAGAATTTTAAAATACTGCCATATGTTACAAATACACACACACACACATATGTACATATATATTGTGTGAGTGTACAAACACACACACACACACACACACAATTTGTTGTACCTGCTATTCTTGTTGTTATTAAGGAAAGAGATAAAAACAAATACACCAAATAAAAGGTCAGAATTGAATTAAATTATATTTTAAATCTTTTTTGCAAGGTGCTACTTAGGAAGCAAGATGCTTCCTAAGATTCTTCTTTACATATATAATTTATGTTGATATATAATACATTAAATAAAAATCTATTTTCTTTGAATGCCACTATTTTAATATTTACATTAAAGTAACCAATTAAAGGAAATTGCTGTTTGATGAGAGGTTTATTAAATGTCGTTATAGAATGCATAGTTTTGTCAGGGAAAGGATGCATCTAATTAACCTACCATGATTCAGTGTTGATTATATTGTCATCAGAGTGACCATGAAACATCATTGAAAGGCCTCTATGCTTGCTGAGCAAATGGCATAGAAATGTCCTTAACTTGTCATCATGTTTATGGGTGGGAGACAGGTAGATGGGGCTCTCATTTTTAGTTAATTACTATTAGAGTTATAGAATATTTTAAGTAATTCAGTTTATTAGTAAAAAACATATATGTTTAAAACATGTCAACTTACAAGATAGAGTAAACTAAAAATAATTTTAGCAAGTTAAGTTATTATGTTGGTTTATCTAGCACTGTATTAAAGAAAAACCTAGAGCTGCATTGCAGTAATATTTCAAATGGGTAGAGTCCACATTGTAATTAGGAAGCTCTGTAATCACCATATGTCTCCTGATTTATCACAATGTGCTATATTCTTATTTTTTTAAAATATATTTTTATTGGTTTCAGAGAGAAAAGGAAAGGGAAAGAGAGTTAGAAACAACAATGATGAGAGAGAATCATTGATTGACTACCTCCTTTACACCCACACTGGGGATGGAGCCTGCAATCCTGGGCATGTGCCCTGACTTGGAATCAAATCCTGACTTGCTGGCTCATAGATCGACCCTCAACTATTGAGCCACACTGGCTGGGCACAATGTGCTCTATTCTTGTACTGCTTACTTAAAGATTATAGAATTAAGATGCTTATAAAGTATAGGTGAAGATGTGAAATTATGAACATGAAGTTTAGCTTCTTTCCACTAAAGTGATAAGAAAATATCTTTGAAAAATATAAAATGATATAAACATGTAACACCATTATTTTATTACTAAAGGCCCAGTGCACAAAATTCGTGCATGTGGGGTGTGTGTCCCTCAATCCAGCCTGCACCCTCTCCAATCTTGGACCCCTCAAGAGATGTCCAATTGCCCATGGGATCGGACTTAAATGGGCAGTCAGACATCCCTCTCACAATCCAGGACTACTGGCTCCCAACCACTTGCCTGCCTGCCTGCCTGATTTCCCCTAAATGCTTCTGCCTGCCAGCCTGATCAATGCCTAACTGCTCCCCTGCTGGCCCAATTGCCCCTAACTGCCCTCCCATGCTGACCTGGTCACCCCTAACTGCCCTACCCTGCCAGCCTGGTCACCCCTAATTACCTTTCCCTGCCAGCCTAATTGTCCCTAACTGCTCTCCCCTGCAGGCCTAGTCCTTCCCAACTGCCCTCTCCTGCTGGCCCAGTCACCACTAACTGACCTCCCCTGCTGGCCTAGTTGCCCCTAACTGCTCTCTCTGCTCGTCTGGCTCCCCGCAACTGCTGGCCTGGTACCCCCAAACTGCCCTCGCCTGCCAGCATCTTGTGGTGGCCATCTTGTGTCCACATGGGGGCAGCCATCTTGTATGTTAGAGTGATGGCCAATTTGCATATTACTCTTTCATTGGATAGGATCATCATTAGTTTGGCCATTATTAGAAGTAGTTAGAAGTAGTGTCTAGAAAGTGTTGACCTTTACATTCATAAGTTAGTATATTTTTTCATTGGTTTGTTCATTGGAATTATCCTAAGCCAAGTCTCTAGGCTTTCATACATTTGTCTAAAAAATAAAAAAAAAGTTAAAAAATAACCCTACTTTTCTATTGCTAGTGGTAGATAGTCACAGGCAGACCTGGAACTTCTAGAATAACTGCAGAGCTTGCTCAGGAAATTTTATAAGTGTTCAAGGTTGGTTTACATATTATGTTTTTCTCAGTTTAAAGTACTAACTCTGTTGTAAGGTGTAAGAAAATATCTAAATCAAGAGTATGGGTGATAAATATCTGCAATATTTTCTACTTATTGCCTATTTTCCATGTTTGAATGATGTTATATAGTTACCCTTTTTTTAGGACATTTTTCCAGATTTATGGGTAATTTCAGGCTTTGGGATTTTGCATGCAAATGCTTACCTCAACATACTACACTGCCTTATGTTGTTTGAATGAATGAAATGCAGTGCCCCATGATCATTAGTTTCATTTGTCACCAACGAATATTAGGCAAGGATTTCTACAGAATATCATTAACAGGAAGCGTTAAATGCAGAGCAATGCAAACCAGTAACTTCTTGATGCAGCAGTCAGTGCATTTTATAAGTGGGTGCAGTTCAGAGTCAGTATGCTGTGTGGGATTTCCTACAAAAAATTGTTCCGTGTCTTTCCTATTTTCCTCCCTCAAAACAACACATTTCACTTCTTCTGATTGTTTTATTTCTCTACTTCTCTGAATAGTATGCTTATATTACTATTTTTTTTAATGTTACCAGATTCCCCCCCCCCCCCCCCCCCCCAATTTTAGGGCATTCTTTATTGATTTTTTGATGTCTTATTCTCATAAGCTCATGATATGTGAATGAATACCTTTCTCAAATGACCATCATTCAAAAATATTTGTCTTAAAGTTTGATTGTTTCCATAGTATTTGATGTTTTTATTTTTTATTTTTATGACTTTGTCAACACTCTACTCAGTTGAATCACATGGTAAAAATAACCACCTTCTCTCCTACAGAACTTGGTTCCCCACCCAGCATGATTAATTTTCTTTTCAGCTATTTTTGTATTTACCATAAACTTATGTCCGACTCCTCACCAATGGTCTACATCAAGCATGTCAAACTTGTGGCCCGTAGGCCCCAGGACACATGTCTCATTTATTTGGCCTGTGTTAGCCTTTGAATTTGACATGCTTGGTCTACATGATCTCTGGAGCTTCTGGTGCAACAGATAGTCCAACACTCACCTTCCCAGAAAAGTTACTCTCTAGATTAGGGGTGTCGAACTCAATCAGAGAAGGGGCCAAAATCTAAAATCCAGCCTAAATCGCGGACCGAATGGTTTACTGAACAGTCATAAACTGTCATTGTGATGGAAACGCAACAGAGTGCAGTGATGACAGCACGGTGCGGGCCACATTGCAAGGCCTGGCGGGACAGATTTGGCCCGCGGGCCTTGTGTTTGACACATGTGCTCTAGATCCTTAACATGGGCCCAGAAGCTGTGGTTCTTTCCACAGAGCTTTCATCTCGATATCTCCCTTTATCCAGAAAAAAGAAGACAGGGTAACATAAGACTTGGAATCAATTCTAGAAAACATCCAGGTATAAAAGAACACAGAGTCCCAGGCTGCAGGTGTGTAACCAGTGCCCAGAGTGGTGGAGCGGACGAACACAAGCCTGTTATATCTGGGTTGTGGCTATGTAAGTTGGCTGTATTGGTTTTAAGCACTGGAGGCTGACACAATGTTATGAAATAAGCAGTTAATTGATTTGAGCAATGTGAATTGTTTGGAAACAAGTCCAGGTGATGGGCAGAAGCAGCTAGGAAAACAAGGAGAGGCGGGCAAAAAAGCACAGGTACAACTCTGACTCCGATTTTGGCTGGACCGGTGCCCATCAATCTGAATGACATTCTCCACAGCGCAGAATTGGGCTACCTTAGGACAAAAGTTTGCAAATATTCAGCGGAGTATAATATATGTACAACAGGTCTCTATGACTCAAGTGCATATTTTGTCTTATGTGAAGGTTTGTGTCAAAAGAGGACATTTTTTAAAAAGAGGTTTAAAAAATTATACCATACAAATAGCAAGAGATAATTTTGGAATCATGTTAGATTATGTTGTAGAATAATTTTTTATGATAAAAAAGCAAGGTCTAAGCGAGAGCGAGAGCGAGAGCGAGAGCGAGAGCGAGAGCGAGAGAGAGAGAGAGAGAGAGAGAGAGAGAGAGAGAAGATAAGATTGGAGGAGGAAAAGGAGGAGGAAGAGGAGGGAAGAAATTCAGAAACAGCTTTGAGAAAGGACTGGAAGCTGGGAGATGGTTTCTCTATCCTTCTCTTACCTCCTTATGTCTAGCCGTCTAGCCAGCTCCATGTCCTCTCCTAGGGAAGGCCCCATACCTAAGTGCTGTCAGCTGCCCCTGCGCCCACACTCTTCCCTGAAGCATAGCAAAAAGAATGAAAAGGCAGCAAGAACCAAGTGCCAGAGATGTGGCATGTTTTTTGCTCGGTATAGTAGGTAGTCAGCACTCAGTATGTGTTTAGTGATTGGCCTTTGAGAGCATATACTTTAGCAGCCTGATTTCCTAAAATACCCTGATTAATAGGATAGCTCAGATTTCCCTGGATATTTAGCTATTTTATCCAGTTCATATTTAAACCTTCATTTTAATAATTCACCGTATCGATATAAAAATTTAGTAACTTTGTCTAATATAGTTTGGGAAGAAGGATGGAAGTTTTGCCATTTTGGGGAATTATTTGGTTTTGTTTTTCTTTGTACATTACAAAAATAACAGTGTCACTACTATTGGGCTGTGACTTGTGACATTCAATATCTCTAATGCCAGCTCTCTCACTCACTTTGATTTCTCTCATTTTATGGAAGCTCTCTATAAAGGCATAACTCTCTGAAAGAAAGAGAGAAAAACTACTTCTAAATTAATCTAGCAAACCAGAAAGAACAGCACAGATAAGATTTAAAGATTAAGCTTGAGAAATGGATTCTGTAAGTGTATTTTCTGAGTGATCTAAATGCCAGTGACCAAGGCCATGGGATGGGAATCTGTAATGAGGAAGTCATTGGTAGCTAGGGTGGTCAGACTGCATGCTTCTCACTCTTGACGTGAAATGTTTTTCTACCAAATGTTCACCTTCAATAATTTACTTTGTAGTGCTGGAGAAAAACTGTTTTCCAGTTGTGTGCTGTTGTAAAAGCCACTTAAAAAAACTGGATATCATTTGACTGGGAATAAAAATGCTGGTTGCCAATGTCATTTTACATATTAACATTCCATGATTCCACCAAACCAGAGTCAACCTAGTAAAAATGATGTCCTATTATACCACAGGGTTAGGAAAGCATTAGGAATACATAATGAATTCTCAGCAATCTTCCATTTAATAAAGGGCCTCTTTTATTTTATTTTGAAAATAGCAAGCCAATAAATAAAGGAATAAGTGACATTTTAAAGGTTCAAAGAATATGATTGTCAGAATTATGTTTAATTACATAGTTACAGTTCATCACATGAAAACAAAAAATGTAAGAAGATCATATATTACAGTGCTAACAACAGTAACTCCTGGGTAAAAACCAGCAATTTTCATGTTCAAATCTCAATCATGCAAACGTGTAGTGGAAAGCAATATCTTTGGACCACTTTACCTTTTTTTTTTTTTTTAAGTGATGGAGGAAATTTTAATATTGCACAACTATAAATGATCCTCCTGGGTAGCAATCTCATTTGTGGATTTCTTATGGTGTCGAGTAAGACATTAATAATAATAATTTATCTACTGAAGACTGTAATATAGAAACTAGAAATTTGGAAGAGGGTAATTCTTGAACTATGTACTATTTTTACCAAGGAGGGGAAAAATCACACAGATAGATTTAAAAATAATTTAATTATTGCCTCATTATTATAATATTTTCTGTCCTGCCAGAAATTTTATTTAGTTTCTAGGACAATATTCCTTTGCATTTCATCGCAAAAGGTGGCTCATCTAGTATTTAAGTACAGATGTCCCCAAACTATTATCTGGAATCAATTATTATTGAAAAGGAAGTATATCAAATCATATATTTTGGAAAAGAAGCAAATTTGTGATGGTTATTTTGTTTCTTGACAAAGGTGTAGTGTCCACAATTATTTTTATCAAAATGATCATAAACATTCTATTTAAGGAAGGACAAATGCTATCCTTCTATAAAATACAGTATAGGACTTCACAAAGTATATATAAATTGATTTAAAAGAATTTTTCAGGAAGCAAACATACAACACATAATTTAATACATTTTGAAGATTCATATGGATAAGGATTTTGCAAGATGGAATATTTCTGTGTGGACCCCAAAAGATAAGTGTAGGGGCACATAGAAAGTAGGTCAAAGTAAAAAAATGTGTCTGTGTACATGAGTGTGTTAGGGTTTGTGTAAAGATGGTACTGGGTGAGGTATTCTGTCATCTGCAGCCAAGATGATACTGGCTTTCAGCTCATTCGTTGTGAGGGTAAAGACTTAAGTGTTGCTGTGATTTATACACTGCTGGCTATCACTAAAAGAACACGGTGTCTTAGAACTTGAAAGAATCTCTATTCTCCATTTCAGGTATTCACAAAAATTGGGAGCTTCTTTTTCTCCATTTCACTCACTGACATATATATATTTTCAATAAGAATAGGCATTATTCCTTGAATTATGCACTAGACATGTAAATCTGCATTCCATTAATCAAATGATTTCATATGGACCCACATCATGTTCACTTCTGATTTATATTAAATATCAAGATACTGCAATTGTTTCATTCTCCATCTTTCCCTGTCTTTCAACCCCTCTGTCAAGCAGTTAATGATGTTGAAAAAAACATAAAAACCCTTTCACAAGGTTTTCTTCAAGAGAAAACCATTATCTCAATCTTCTTTCCCTGAAGTTGGGGCTTCACATTTTGGATTTCTTAAAATTAGCAACTCTTATGAGGCTGTGGGTCACTTGGGTGAATAAGGACAGCAAATCAGATACCGAGGTGAGCAGGGTCAGGGTGGAGATCTTGCTTCATTTGGGCCACAATTCTGTGTCTACAAAGTGGGTTAATTTGATATTTTTCTTAAGTTTAAAATAATAAAATACACACACACACACACAAAAAACAAACAAACAAACAAAAAAACCCCCCCCCACACACAAAAAAAAACCCCAAAAACCCAAAAACCAACAACACACAAAACAGAGAACAGACTGAGAAAGTTAATTGTATCAACTAATAAAATAAGTTCAGAATATGGAATATGGACGAAGGTAGCAGGCATAGAAAGTAAAGCAAAATCAAAATGTATTAAATGAAATTATTAGAAAGAAGTTGACATATTCCTATTACAAGTATATTTTTCCATTCTTTAAAATGTTTACAAGATGTTAAAAACTAAGAAAAGTGTATGAAAATCTCACATAAAAAGTGGCTTTCATATTATTTAGTAATTTTAACTTATTTCTAATTTATCTAAAGTTCAATTAATTCAAATAATTGCCTATGTAAGAGTATAAGAAAAAGCTTGATGTGTAAGATATTTTAAAGTAAAACAAAACAAAACCAAAAACAATTTCCCAAATTTCAATTGAAAATGGAAGCTTTTGTAACTCATATGAAAATATGTAGCCCTGATATTATCAATTCTTTAACGGAGTTGTGACAAATGTCATAAATAATTAAACCAAAGTGCTACAGTGTAATGAAAATCCCCAAAGTAATAATCACAGTCACAATGCAATGAATTAGTAGGAATGCAAAACATAAACACTTAATTTTTTTTATAGTTTGACCATCACTTTAGAAAAAGTAAGTCTAAATTTCCAACAAAGAACTGGATGACAGTATAAGAATAGTAATACTTATACCAATCATCCATGACCTACAAGTCTAATAATTGCCTCAGAAAGCCTCTCTATTGATATAGTTGGTGATGGGTCCAGGAAGAGTTAGAAACATCTGACAAATTTGGGAAAAACACTTACATGTACAAGGGCCTGTTCACTTATAAGCCATGTGGCATTTCTCAGTTCTCACTACGCATCCCTGGGAGTTGAGATGTAGCCAAGGAAACATTCCTATGAGCCTGCTAGGTGACCCTATCCCTGACTATTTTTTTTTGTCTTTGAATAAATTACATCTATGGGTTTTGGTTTTTCTCCTGAGGGGTACATAAAAACAGGACTTTTATTCTACATGCTCCTCTCCAGAGCGAGCTAGCATTCCACCTATCTAGAAAATGTGCCCCAAATCTCAGGATACTTCCACGAAAGTCTCTAAACTACCTAATGCCTTGTCTAGTTGTAATAAGTTATAGAAATGATCCACAAAGATTCACATTCTTCAATAAGAAAGGAAGGATTTGTAGTACCAAATGTGGGTTAAGCTTTCAGGTACATTTGTAGAGAAATGCACCCATGGGCTGTGCCTCTTTTCTGATGTGTTCAGCCCCCAGCCTGTCTCACTGATAATGTATCTTCACATTGAAATGCAAACGAGGTTGACTCTACAAGAACGATCCTCGTGTGACTGAAGAGACATTGGACCACAGGGATTCTGCTACATGTTCTTTGGTGTTTAATAATTTTCACTCTCCTAAAGGAAGCACACTTGTTGGTCATGGGTTGTCTTTGTGCGGTAATGTCAATACTGATACAACTGATGTCTTGCATACTTTGTACTCAGAGAAACTAGTAAAGAAGGCCATGTCTCGGACATGGAACTGAGGTTAGAATGTTAAGAAAGTAAATCTGAGTGTGACGCTAGACAGTTCATTGGAGTCGTTATGATCTTGTCTAAACTGTTGCCCTCCTGACTGGTTCACATTTTCCTTCTCAACCCTCTCCTTTGGAAATTGCGCTCCATAAATTTCACTGGCTAGAACTTCCTTGGTGTGGCATTATCAACTATTATTGTAATTATTAATGCATGTCCAGTAGGCAGATTTTTATCTATCTTGAGAAGACCAAGGTTTGGGGATTTTAAAGTATAGTTAATTATTGGTTAAGTAATTTGAAATTGCAAGATATGGACAGACATTATATGTTAATAGAATTGGAGAAAAATGTATACTTTTCACTTTGAGCAGTTATTAGTATAGTATTTGTTATAACATGTTATGTTAAAGGTCTTTAGGCTCAGCCCCAATTTAATGTGCATTGCCTATTTATTGGGCTGTGTTATAATAATCAAAACTGGCCTACAATATTTTCATAAGACTATAATCGGCTTAGTTTGTTTTCACTGTATCGCTAATGGTCCATTTTAGGAAGGGGCTCAAATAATCTAGAGAATAGGATACTCATGCTCTTTTACAATGTTTTCTGAGATATTGGCCAAAGAATGAGGGGCAGACATCAATTTTTAGGATGTGTTTTAATATTTACTACAAAGATAGCACATGCAATAACGTGAATCCATAGAAACTGCTAACAGTGTAGAGTTATTTATCAGTTCACTGTTTTTATATTGGACAGAAAATATAACTGGTTGACAATTTTATAGGTGATAAATAATTTTGAAACATAATTGCCCAATGAAGATGGAGAAAAATTGTACAAGATGTTAAGTCTACTCTAGTCATTACTTGATGAAAAGGGTGAGATTTACTTTTAATAAATACATTTCACTTTATTTCACATGCTCTACCAAACTGCATCTTCCCTAATAAATAAGTAAATATATATTTCTTATTTCATTAAGTTCAAATTGTGGCAGTGGCCAGAACCTATTGAATTATAAATATTTGCAACCTGCATAAATAAATTAGTTCTGAGAGCCTACTATTCACTTAAGGAATAAAAAAAAAAAAGTTGTGTTTTTTTGTCCCCATCAGAATAGGAAGCTATTGGGTTAAAGTTATTTTGTACTTTTTTGCATTTTAAATATAATGTCACGTGTATTAATACAACAATTAATATTATTGGAAGAAAAAACGGGACATAAAAAAATGAATCCCTTCACATAACCAGGTTTTCTTTGCTCTCAGAAGAACCTTTATGACTTATGTTGGGTTCTGTCATCATCACTCTCTTCCCACCCGATATGGAAACTGTGCCCCTCGTCATTCACCTTCTCCTTCTAGAGGAGTCCCAGCAGGAGTCACTTTTGGAAGGAGCCAAAAGATATCTTTGGTTCATAGCAAGTCGCTCCCTCACAATGACAAAGTCACATGTATGTTAAAGATATAATACTATTTCTGGAGGGAGAAAAAAAAAATGATTTGCAAAGTGTAGAAGCATCTTCAGTCAAAAGCCTATAAACTCAAGTGAGTTGAATACATGCCTATGACCACTCCAGTTGCTCCAGTGGAACTGATTTCATGAAGGTCCAGAAGACGGGTTCAGTAATTCTTCATCTTTGGTTTTTGTAGAAGATTTATCAGCTTGTCATTTTTATTGCAATGCGCACTGCCTTATGTCAAGTATGTTAGGTTAATATAAATTCTCCTATCTGTTCATTTAGTAGTTTTGACTTAGCTACAATTGGAAGCATAGTTAGAGGATAGAATACATCCCCCCAAAATGTCCCAGGAGATATTTTATGGCCTTATTATCATTGCAATGAGATTGGATAAAGACATGAGGAGGAAATTTCTGTCTCACAGACTTTTTATGACATGATTTTCAGAATGAACTGGCCCAAGATTTTTCCTGATTCCTGGTACCCTGTCAGTTATGCTCACTGGAAATGATCACAAGAAAATAGTGTTTTTTACTAACTTCATGCAGATATTATGTCTCCCACCCAATAGACACAAGAGCAGTCTCATCTAATTAGAGAATCCACCTCCCTGGACCCGGTGTCTGTGCTCCGGGCACATTACTAAAACTGAGACATGAACCAGGACCCCTGAGGGCTTTCCCCCATAAGTCCCTTGTGGTCTCTAAGCAACAGCTCGACTGAGTGAGTCTTGCTCCGAGTGGGACCCCACTAGGAACTGTGCTCAAATGGTCTCAGCTGGGAGTTGCTCTGGTCAGTTCCACTAAGGGCATTTCAAAAGCAAATGCCCTGTGCTGAAGGAATTTAGAGGTGCCTAACTCTGAAAGCTGGAACTTCAGGGAAGGCTCTATCATTGTCAGGAACCAGTCACCTGCTCTTCTGATGTGTCAGCAAAATTCACAGTGCAGAGCATTTGAGCAATTTTCTTTTTATTCCTTAAAGCTTAGGATAATTATTTTTCACAGCCACATTAAGTCTTATGATTAACATCTTGATGGGGTTTTCACATTTCTGAGATGCGGAAGGTCTAGGTGGTTGCTATAAATGCGAATTGATCAAGGAGGGACCCAGAACCTTTAATGCTGCAGGAATCCTCTGGAAGGAACTGCCAATCCACATTCAAGCTATGGATAGGGATGAAAAACAAACCTTACTTCTAATCAGCAAAACAGGTATCCTTCCAACAGACTAACTTTGATAGTTTAAAATATTTTGCTATTAGAAAAGAAAAATCTGGTCTTCATCTTACATGGCCTGGGCTCCCTGCTATTTCTATTCCTCCTAGGGGATTTGTGAGCTGACCATCTCAAGCATGTAGCATCAGATAATCAGGCAGGATCATCTTTATTTTCATTCGACTGAATGCCACAATTGAGGGCAAAACTACCTATGTTGACCTGAATTAGCCAAATTTCCTCAATCCACATGGAAACCACCAATTCCTTTTAAACCTTGAAAATTCATCATTAGTGTGAAGGATAAAAAAAACAATTATATTTACTCTATTTTCTCATAGTCCCAGCCAACCCAGACCCAGGAAAAGGAAAGGAAAGCCCAGCAAGTCCTGGTCACACAGTAAAAGGCGAATCCCTGATGGCTGTCTGAGAAGAGTGTGTGAGGTGTCAAACATCTACAATCCTGTGCCTGTTGGACTCCTGACTGCAAAATAGACCAGTTCTTTTTAAGGGTATTTTAATCACTTACTTAAACATTTTCTCACTTAGATTAAATGGAAGCTGGCTGGTGATCACGCCCAAAGGGAGAGAGACACTGTCACCGAGAAGGCAACGCTAACCAGAAAGACAGCGCGGTGACGTGAGGCGTAGGACAGCTAGACTGGTTCTGCTTCCAAAGCATTTCCCCTTCTCACACTCTCAGAGTTGTCATAGGAGCAGACTTGACTATATGAACACTTTTGCTAATAAGAGGGCTTTTTTTTAATTTTTTTATTACAGCACTGTCTTAAAAACAGCTGTTCAGCATAACAATCTTTAACTTGAATGCACCAAATGACAGTTTTCTACGATTTAAGTGAGCATGACCTATCACCCTCAGCACACATTTGATAATACTTGTTAAATATAGATGGATGTAGCAAAATCCATATCTCTATTTGTCTACACACACACACACACACACACACACACACACACACACAAGTAGAGCTACAAGGCTCTGCTTAATCGATTGTGTGTTCTAAATTTCCTGTTCCCTTAATTGTCACTGGGCTTATTTCTATGGCGAGTTATGATGCCATTTGTAGAGCTTATATTGGATTTGTCCCTGTCAAAACCTTCCAAGCCACACAGCTTGTGGTGAGTGACCTTTATGTCTAAGGACCGGCCCTGGTCATCAGACGGGAGGACAAAGCCATGAGGACACCAATCAGGTACAACCCTGTTGGGCAATGCTCATGGTTGCCCAGGCTGCTGCTACTATCAGACCCAAAGAATTGTAGTTAAAGACTGTTCGTACGATTGGGATTCTATTTTTGTTAAACACAGATACCCCCCCCCCCCCCCCCCCCCCCCAAGAAATTCAATAAATAAAGAACTTAGCCACGGAATCAAGGAAGCAGAACTCCAGTTTTGAAACTTCCACTGGGATTGGGGCTAGACCCAACCCATTTCAATTTCTACTGCAATTGGTCTTCCAGGAGGCAGAGGGCGCAATGACCCCACAAGCAGGTCCGGGACAGACTGTCTCTCTGGTCAGCAGTGATTCTCTGTGTGTCATTGGATGAGGCTGGAGCTGTAGCTGAATCCATAGCTGCTGGACCGGGACAAGGTCTGCTGAGTCTCTTCGCTCTGCTCTGGGGCGTAGCTGGGAAAGGTCTGTGCGCGCGACATCTTTGAGGAACCAAACCCGTGACCTGGAGAGAAAGGAAGGAGAGTTGTACTAAGAAACAGATTAAGCAAAACACAGATATATTGCTAAAACAAACATAGCAGAGCCCTCTTACCCTCTATATTGAGCTCTAGGTAAGTAGGTAAAAATGGAGATAACCTGGTGTTTTGTTCCTCAAAGAGCTAAAAATGTCACCTGTGGGGCTCAATATTTCCCTCCAGCGTGTCTTGCCAACAATTCTGGATGCGAAAGATCTAGGTAAATTTTCCAAGGACCTCAAACGTCTACTATCCTTCAGCTTTTGAAACAAAAGCAGACAAGTTTTTCCAAAAGCGAAGTTGTTTTTGATGGAGAGCCTATAAGCTGCTTGCTTTTCTTTTATAATCACTTTCAGCAAATGGCATACTTCCTTAAAACCTTCTTGAGTAGGCAGTAACCTAGGCTGAGCAGTAACCATCAACTATCATGAAAATGCTTCACAGTGAGTGTTCAAGGCCCTGGCTTATCCTAGTGGGGTTTGTGAGTAACTGAACCCATTTCATGATACACTTAACCCAAAGGATAAGTCTGGATGGCTACTGAAAACACTGCCCCAAAGTGAAACCTTACAGAAGATATACCGTATTTTTCGGACCATAAGACGCACTTTTTTCCCCCCAGAAGTGGGGGGAAAAAGTCCCTGCGTCTTATGGTCCAAATATAGCCTACACATATACTTTAAAAAAAAAGTTTTTTTACTTTCCCGGCTCTGTGTGGTCTCTGTGTGCTTGCCCGGCTCTAAAATGGTTCTAAATGCTGCTGTTTACTTTACAGGGTTGATTACATGTGTTTATGACTGTGATGTTGGGTTTTAATGCACATAAAATATTTTAGGACACTATTTGTTTCAGAATCTTTTTTTCTTCATTTCCCTTCTCTAAAAACTGGTGCGTCTTATGGTCCGTAGCGTCTTATGGTCCGAAAAATACGATATTTTCCGAAAATTCTACTTATGCCTTTGGGAGTTCAGACGCACCCTGCAATGAGAAACTGGGCTAACACAAAACACAGAAGTGACTACTAAAAAACTTCTCAGAATGTTCAACCTGTAGGGAGAAGGTGCCTGCTCCCGTCCTTGGTGTTAACCAGTGATTAACCATTCTTCCTGGTTGAGAATGGTAGTGAACTAATGGATGCAATTAGTGGGAGAGGAGAGAGGCAGACCCAGCGTGCTCTGCCCTTCACAGACTGCATTCCACCCAAAGGAGGAGAGCGCTGGAGCTCCATTTGCATTGTTTCTGGTCTTGCGGTGAGGCCTCCGGGGAACACAATCTGTTCACAGAAACATGGAACATCTGGCCAGGTTCTCAGGTGGCGCTGTCCTTTGCAAGGTCATGCACTTAAAGCCATTTCATGGTCAGGTGTGTTTTCCTTGCGGAGTCTGGAGCTTGGGATCCAGGGAGGAAATGCAAATGAATTGGTAATCAAAAGCTAATTAGACTGGTAGGACCCCTTAATGTGAAAGTATTGTGAGAGCAAAATCTTGCTTTCCACGTAAAAATCATTTTAGATTCACAGTTGGCCTGATTCTCATGTTAAGGCTCCACGAGCAGGTCAGGTAGAAGAGAGGCACGGACAGTTAGTTCCTCCTGTGTCCTCTGCCCACTTTAGCTTAGCATTGACTTGTTAGATGATAAGTCATTATTTCTTTGGAGATATTGGCATTTATGAGCACAGATCTGGAGAAAATTCTATTAAGAATATGCTCCTGGCCTTGGTTTTATCCTGATATATTTTTATTTGTTTTGTTTTTTTAAATGAGAACTATCTGAAAGAGAGCAATGCTGGCGCTCACCTATAATGCTTGTTATTTGTGGGCTACCAGCTAAGGCTTAAGTTGCAAATTTAGAAGCCTCTGCCTGTGCACACGTAGCTTTTTATCCTAGAATCTTGGGTGTAAAAGGTCAATCATGTAGCTGATATTTGCCAAACATCTGTTAAAACAATTCAAAATGCCACAGTGGAGACAAAGTAATGGGAAGTATGTTACCTGACCTTCCAGGGCTCATGAGCTGCTTTGGGAATGGTCATCAGACAAGGAGAGCCAGAACCAACAATGAATGGAGCTAAAGGGTGCACACAGCCCATGCTCTGCAGGACCAGAGCAGGGCGCCCGCGGAGCTTCCGAGGACTGTCTATAGACCCACACAGGCCAGGTCAAGTCACTGTGCCCTTCACTCTACAGGGTGTGCAAACACCACTGCCACCATGGACCAAAACACACAAACCAAGTCCTGCCAGCCCTATGACTCCTTTTTGTACCTCATTTGCCTACATGGAGAGAATATCTTTGTTAAGGTGTTTTGAGGTTTAAATAAAACACTTAGGAAGTTAGCTGGGACTGTAGGTTCCCCATAGATGTCAGTTTTCTCCCTTTTTTCTACAAGGAATGGACCTGTAATCCTCTCTCTCTCTTTTTCTTTCTCTCCCCCCCCCCCCCCCCCCCGCCCCAAAATCTGTGCTACTTACCATGAACAGTTTCTAGTTTAATTGGAAATTAAATGATGATTTTTCTTTACCTCACCCATCTCTTTACAGACAATTCACAAATGATGCCACTTAATACTTATTACGAAAATAACACATCTCATTCAGAACTGTACATCTGAAGGCTAAACATATGCAGCTTGATTTGGGCAACAATGAGTATGAGAACAAAAGAAAGAACTAATTAAGCGTTTTCTCAACTTCCATTTCAATTATGCCCTTGGGCTCTGTTGATGAAAACAAAACAAAACAAAACAAAACAACAAAAGGAAATCAACTTTGTGGCTTAAATGATAAACTTGCCAGAACAGACCTGTTTTCTACACTAACGGAGATTCTATATGCTTCCTGAACTCTCCCTTTAGCTCACGCTGGAGAGCAGATAAGGTGAATGAATAAGCACTGTAAGGACTTGGGGGATGCTATAATTAAAAAGCTGTGAACAGCTATTAGTGTATCTTAAAAGTCCTTGTGAACTTTGGTTTCTACTTCATGGCTTATTCGTATTTGTTTTAATAGAAAAAAATACTTTGTACTTATCTAGTCAGGTGGCACTGACTATCCGGGAAAACAAACACATCTCATTTACCTGGCGGTCTGAAGTATTCTCTGAAATGACATTTCCTACCATCCTCCACCCTCTTCTCCCCTGGTGTGTATACAAGACTGAGAAATATAGTTCTGTTCTACAAAGAAGTAAATATATTGGGTATAGAGGTATTTCAAACATTTGCATTATTCTAACAAAAATGTGACCACTCCCAATTCCGGAAACTTAAGCATCCACATGCAAGAAAAGTGAAGTCACCCTACCATAAAGGTAAGTCTTAAAAGGTTCAAACCAGCAGTAAACCAGAAGGAACACAAAGGCAGTAGGAAAATAAATCAGAATGCAAGACCAGAGACCCATATCACACCTCAAAGAACAGTATCTTCTGAATACTCTCCTTTGGTGGGTATGAGGGGGAGAGATTAAGTGCATAGCTGCCTGGATGGAGCCCCTACGGTTCAGCCCTCTGGTTTTCTACACTTACACTGACTGTGCTCTTTACATAAAATAGCATGCAAAGGAGTTTGTTTCTGTAGGAAATCAGGAAGAGCCCATCGCCCAAGACTTGTGTTTATTAATTGATGAGAAACAATGGTCTCAGTAAGGATCTGGGGCAGAGGAAAGGGTGCTGTCTTAAAAAATAAAAACAGCCGAAACCGGTTTGGCTCAGTCTGTGGACTGAAAGGTCCCAGGTTCGATTCCGTCAAGGGCATGTACATTGGTTGCAAGCACATCCCCGGTACGGGGTGTGCAAGAGGCAGCTGGTGGATGTTTCTCTCTCATGGACATTTCTAGCTCTCTATCTCTCTCCCTTCCTCTCTGTAAAATATTAATAAAATATATATATAAAAAATAAAAACAAACGAAACAAAAAACAAAGCAGAAAAAACACACACCAAATAAAATAGTTGCTTCATAAGAAGGGTACAGCCCGCAGTGAAGATTCAACAACTATCAGGTGCAAGTAGAGGAGATGCCATCTTACTCTTTGTATTCCTTGACAAGGGCTTTCTAGCCCCTGGGGAAAAGGGGAGGGCTGAGGGCGATTGGACATGACGCTGAGGGACCCGGGGTGTAAACAGAGGTCCCAGGGCTCTCACTACAGTGATTGGGGGGGGAGGGGGGGAGCAGAGGTTCCTATGAGCTAGAAGTGTCCTGGGAATGTCTAGTGCCTTAGCAACAACTTACCACCCGTTAGTCATGCTGAGAAATGCCAAGGATTCATTGTCAACCTCTCTGTAAGCTGTGTTTGATTTTACTCAGTTCATTGTAATTGCAGCTTGAACCAGACTGTTTGGGTTTGATCTCTGTGCTCTCCTAAGGGGAAGCTTATGAAATTCCTGTGGAGATTCCTGGTTCCAATAGTTTCTCTTGAATGGATTTGTTTTAGGCATCAAGGCTCAGATTCAGCACATTTGAGCCAACGGGGAATATAAAGACCATGGGTTTTGACCCATAAAGGAGTGATTTGGAAAAGTCATGATGTTCCTTAAGCACCTGTTCATGTCCATCTTATGCTAAGTTCCTTAAGACATCACTGTTAAAATCTGCATATCAGTTCTGTAAGATGAGGTTGTATACCTTTATTGCACTTGTGCAAAAACAAAACTGGAGTCTACAGGTGTTTAACAAGTCGCCAAGCTCCTAAGCAGCAGAGCAGGTCAGACCTAGGTCTGCTGGAAATGATTTAAAAAAAGCATTGCCCTGCATACTGCCGCATGTCCCTTTGGAATTCTTTAAACTTCAGTTTTATTAGGAATCATAAAGAGCATGTTTATTTATATAGACATGGCTTCTGAGGAGAAGAAATAGCAGTTTTCACAACCCAGTTCCCGGGACTAGATTCAAGTGCCTGTAAGATGGTGAACATGTTGTCAGAGAACAAAAAGCCATTCAAGCAGGTAAAACATTCTCTCGGTCTGCTCAAGTGCCACAACCAAGTACCACAG